CAGACCTACGATAAAAGTGCATTCTGCTGAGAATTTCTTTTGGGTATTCGCAGATAACGCAAGGTTTTTTTGCATGAATTTGAAAAGATATCCCACTGACGCTGAAAACTGGTGAAATATCTACTGGCGTGCCACGCTTGTCCGCAAAGTATTGAGTCAATGCTAATCGTCAGAACTGGTACATGTCTCCGATGAATCCAGTTCTATTTTCTCCAACCTTTTTTCATTGCCGCAATCCCGCCTTTGTCAAACGTTGCGATTGGTTATAAAAACTGCATTTAATGGTATACGACAACAGGAACTCACCTGCAAAGACTCACTGGGGACAATTGGCGATTCGTTAGGTATCTAATTGCTTTCAGCAGAAAAACCATCGCAAATTAAAAGTATAGGCCAAGCCACGCAACGAAGTTTGCCAGTTGACCATGACAAGTGGTTTGTGTTGGCCAAATTGAGCTCTATTGAAATAGGCGAAACCTCGTAGATACAGATGTATTGCGTAAACTGCGTTCTCCGATGTAGAATTGTACCTCGTGTATGCACTCGCGATAACCCTGTCGTCGACGATGTTAGATCCAATGAATTGGACAAATTCTCATGGATTTTGATATATCAAATCCAAACAAGGATTTAGAGTAGGACTGGAACCATTTCGTGAATGGAAACATATCAGCCAGGTCGCTTTTGCAAAAGAAACCGAAAATGGACTTTCCCATTTTGGTAAAATCACTTGCAGGACAATGCCATCTTTGAAATATACCTCCTATTTTCGTTGTCGATTATCATAGAGATGTTTTCTTGGTGTCAGCTGCTAAATTCCTACATTAATCTTGGGCTGATTCAAATGAAATCGATGTCTACTTCAAACTAATGGTAAGTGGTAAGTACAGGTTTGAGTGCAATCTTCGATGCGCCGAATCAAATGTAGAGCTTATTTATAGAAACGTCTAACAGTTAAAAAATGCGGTTGCCGACCTAGTACGTCCATGGACATCAGGCTAGCAGCGTCTTCCTTAAAGCGACCTCGTCTAACGTCCACTGTACACCCTAAAGCGTCTGTGAACAATAAAGTCGACTGACTTTAGCCTTTATAACTACCTTTGAGATGAGCAAATAGTTGGTGCGATTTAAGCAGAGCGAGAGGGTCAGACGAGCATTAAGAAGGCCTTCCTTAGGTTTTCAATTGCAACGAGTCCTACAATAAGCCATCATCGTACATTTGACGTATTGATGATTGTTTGAAATAATTGAATACGAGGCAAGACAACGTGGCCACCCTTCAATCCAGTCCGTTTTACACATTTTTGAATCGGAAATTGTTTGTCTACTGAATAAGCGTAAGCACACGTTAATTGTAACTGCCCGGGAATGCTAGTTGTACCATTAGATCCAACAAACCAATCATTAACCTCTTACCATATTTTCAGAGACAGTCGTGGTGACCATGTCTGTCTGACATGGTGCCCCCCCATGGGACAACACTACCGTGAAAACTACATCATCGTGCTCATCTATCTCTTTCGTGGAAACTGCGTACCTCAACTGAGTCCTCCTGCTTAATATCCGGAGGTGAGTGGACAATTACAACTTTTGTGATCCTTAGTGTGTGTGCGACAATGCTGATTGAGAAGTCATTTTACTTTCCACACGTGGTGACTACTTGCTATCGAAATCACTATGGAGAGCTGCTGACAATGACAGTAGAACGCGGATTGTGTACTGACGGACAACCGACAAACTTGAATTGTACCCATAGCATCAGTTCACCCAACCATCTTACGAGCTTGCGTATTTGGCTGCTTTGCATATCAAAGATGTTCACGACTGACGCAACACTGGGTACCATTATAACTGACTTTAGCACTTACTCTGGTTGCATGTTCCATGTCGCTGATAGGTTCAGTAGTTCCAAATTCCTATTCAATACTTGAGCCGATGTTTGCGTTAGTGCCTCCTCTCTCCACGATCCCTGTCAGGGACACCATATGCTCTTGAGAGGTAGGGAACTGTCTAAGTTTATTTTTAAAGTGACGCATCTGCTTATGTTTCACTTTAATGCCCTAGTCACTTGAATAAATAAAAAAGAAATGCTGACTCATAAAGTAACTGACCACTTTTTGTCCTGTCATTGGCTTTCACCAATTATCATTCATAATATTTTCGTGAAACAATCACCATTGGCTGGGTGCCAATCCACATGCGACAGGATTTCTACTTATGTTAAGCACTACTAAAAGTGCAGACTCGAAATGTCTTTTACTGTTGCATTGTGGCTTATTTCAATATGGATATAGTTTATATTGATGCTGTAATAGGGCAACATATGCGAGTGGTTTAGAGGGACATGTAGACTTACATTAGGGACAGAAGGACCGGCTTCCACAGCGTTCCACTGTTGAAGTCGTCAAACTCCCCTATTGCGAGTTTGAGGCATTGGTACCGGGTACTGAATAAGGAGGTGCGTTCTCCAAACCTACTCTTGAGATTTTGAACGGTTTCTCCAAAAGTAAAGTCGAGTGAAAATTTAGGAAGGATAACGTCTGTGTATTTCTCCAACTCGGATGGACCCAGTTTGCGGGTAAGGAGTCTGACTTTCCATGCGTCATCCTGGGACGCGAGATCGACTCGGAACAGGTCGTCGTAACGACGATGCCAGGACTCAAACGTTACGCCGTTCTCCGGATCATAGGAAAACTCCGAGATACTGTTGGTGAGGCCATCAACTGACAGCGTACTGGCGGCAGCGGCCTGAGACGACTGGCGATCTGCCAGCTTTAACAATAGCCGCTCGAGTAATTGTTCCAATCCTATGTCACTCATCACAAGAAAAATCTCACCTGCGTCGCCAAATTTGTTACGTTTGCCCGTAACAATAGAGAAGACCACTCAAATAACGGTACCAGATCCCTTGCTGAAAGCTAGAACCGACCTTCCCAGGCTAATACCAGAACAAGACCAGAGCTCGTGTAGAGAGCTGTATTCACGTCAGCCACGTGCGGTGTGTGTCCGGAAGTCGAACAAATTCAAGTCAGGTTGACCTTGACTTGATAAAAAGTGCAGCAAAACAAATGTTAGTGGATAACTGTAAATAGCATCAGAAACCAATCTTGGGGAATCGCGGATCCCCAACAGTAGGCACCAGTGTGGGACGTCACGCAAATCCGAGCAGCCAGAGGGAACATTGCAAACAGTTAGGGTGGAGAGGGCGAATATTGACGTTAGTTCGTGTGTAGTATACGTCAGAGCTGATGATCGCTGACGCACAGATGGTCGTCAATTATTTGTCACACAGTGGAAAGCAATGTCTTCGCTCTGTTCTCAAACACCTGCGTTCTTCGACGGTGCCTGTACGTCTGATACCCAAGGTTGCAATACCGTTCCAAATGGGAATTTTCCACCACCTTGTGTGTGTGCGTGCGTGTGTGTGACACGGGCAAAGTGCGCTCATTCGACACGATCACGTCAATTTGGCCTACTCGTGTTTCAGCTCCCAAGTAGGCGGTTTGGCAATAAAGTGCTTGGAGGTAGCCCTTAAACAGATTGCTTCCATGTTCTCGAATTCACACAAAATTCACGTGACAATAGACCAGCATGGAGTTATTGACGTGTGACCCGCAATGCCCGAACGCCTCACCGGTTTTCTTCTTCGTCTTCTTCGTCTTCTTTTGTCTTTCCCACATTGTGAAATCCATGAGCAAATTTCGGAGCTGATGGTGTCGACGACGTTGATTGGGCAAAAGTGGAAAGTCATCGCTGAATCGTCATCCGCAACGTGGTCACCCTGTTTGACCAGGCGGAATGTGGGCGTGTCTCATTTTGAGGTGATTCGGAATTCCACCTACTCCGCCAAACCGTCAGCATCAATTAACCTAGTGGTTAGTGCAACAAGTAGCCGCCTCCACAAAGTCTCAGATCAGTCACGGGGTGTGGCGCAAATTATGCGTCAGAGGAAATGCCTCGCAATTGCGGAATAAAGAATCTCGTCGCCTTCAATGGAATTAAAGTGAAACCGACAGGAATTTTCGCGAACTCATGTGACAGTTTGTTCCCCGTTCAGTTACGCTCACCAATTTGTCTATTCATGGTTTATATATCGGATTGTCTCACAGATTTTTAGCGAAACCGCTACACTTCCATCTACCAATTAATGTCTCCTCCTTTTAACTTCTCATGAAATCGCATCATCTTTGGTTGCTTAACAATTGCTTTTTAGCGCCTTGGATTTGCTGAAGAAATATTTGGATGTATGCGATATACCTTGTCAATCCCAATTTTAAATTTAGCATCAACTAGTTCTTAAATATTGCTCACAAATAACGCCTACAACTTAAATTATTTGCTCTCAGCGGAAAAAAGAAAGATTGCGTCAGCGAGACACCACCCATATACTCAAATGCTAATGCTTTATAAATCTTATTTTGCCTCAACCAATGAAATGAGACGCAATTTCCAATAAATTCAGACGTCTCTGTTGAACACAATTTTACCTGACCACCACGATGCTGCAGAGGAAGACAAAACGCGTGATTGGGATTTTGGTTACTGCTATGCTTTTGTTTAACACTACCTCGCGATATATGCTCCAGACTATATGGGTTTTGCAACAAGAGAACCCCCGGAATATGCAAGCAAACACACACTGCAAATGGCCCCCAAATAAGCTTGAAGACATAATGTCGGTGGAGCGTGGATATGACATAACTCTGTGTGTGATGCGGGATCTTAAACTGACAAAGAACAGGACGTCAAAACTGTATCCTCTTAAGGATCTCTTTCACAATGTAACATCTTTAACCAGTGTTTCATATGGTGATCTCGCAGAATTGCCTCGAAGCTTCTGGGAGAAGGTGAAGTATCCAGACGTGTACCACACGTACCCGCAAGATGTTCCAATGAAGCAAATTGTCAAGGACATCAAAGCAGGTCTTCCTGTCTCCGATGTAGGCTAATACGTTTGTTTACTCCATGCCTGTTGCCTCCATTTTGTCTTCATTGCTGCAAGCTTTCACAATGTAATACATTCGACAGAATAGCTGAACTGCATCAAATTGTTTAACTCACTGTCTGCCCTCCTGACCGTCCGCACCAGATTTAATTGGCAATGGATTGTGCATCTATGATAAGCAACCATTTAACCAAAGACTTAGTCAATCACGTAGTGAATGCAGTCATTCAACCACGGCAAGTAGTTTGGCTTACACAACTGGACTGCAGTTGAGCCATCTAATGGTGACAAGTTGTGACAAAACCTGCAGCCAACTCATTTTCATTCATATTTAGTGTTCGCAAGAGGGATCCCAGCAATCAATGAGTCAGATGAGTCATCGTTGGCACAGTTCAACGACACAGGCTATGCAAACATGCAGAATGCAAAGTAACTAAAGCGACTAGACACATAATCGCTGCGTTTGATTTTGCAGATGCCTGAGTACAATTTTCCCATGCGCATTCTGAAAACCAGCACAAAGGTGTGTGCACGCGACACACACCACGACCTCGTCATCGTGGTGAAAAGTGGCAATCTGGGGTGGGATGCCAGAACGGCATTTCGAGCCTACATGCAACGTGAAAAGGCCCGTTATCCGAAGCTCAAGGTGGGAGTCGTCTTCAGTCTGG